TTTTTCCTTTTTCCTTTTTCCTTTTTCCTTTTCATTTCCTTTTCTTTTCTTTTTTCCAAGTTGTTTACCCTAGATTTACACTCCTAGTCCAGAAAGCAGAGGTTTGGCTACATTATGTCTACTTAAACTATAGCCCAAAATGGGACAAAAGAGAAAATATAAAACACTACCCAATAAAACCTCAGCACTAACTTGTGATCACATCACAATGAGACACATTTGCACATGTTATTTCCTGGCTACCTAGAGTAGTCTTGGAACAAGAGAAACAGCCTTTTTTTCCCCTAAAAAAAAAAAAAAAAAAAAAAAAAAAAAAAAATAAGAGCATTTCAATTACCATAATAATACAAATTTTGGTCCAGATAAAATTTGAAGGAATAAGGAAGTGTGCCTAGATAAGAATTTCCTTTTCTTTTTTTTTACAGAACAGAAAGGTAAAGAAGGATGGATATTTGCCCTTGATGACACTTGAGTGCTTTGACAGTGACATAACACTTCACAGGCATCTCTATTTTATATATTGAAGAGAGACAGCTCATCAGATACACAAACTATAAATCTAAACTGTAAATTCTTCCTATCCAGATGTCTGTTACACTCACCCCAAAAAAATTATATGAAAAAAAATATTATTTTTGTCCTCTTCTGTGCTTTTTACTTATTAAAATGTAAAATTTGAGACATTTGATTGAGATGTTAGATTCTTAACACACTGAATATCTTTTGTTACAACAAAGTGAACTCCCTAAAAATTTTAACTCAAAGCCAACAGGTAAGGTTCAGCTGGAAGGGACTCTGACATTGACTCCCTGTATAACCTTAAGGAAATCTCTTTTTTCTTGTGTTCCTCCACTGGGAGCTATTAGAGTCAATTCATTAATGTGCACAAATGTGATTTAAGACCATCAGACAGAAAATATTAAAGGAAAACCACTGTCATCATAGATTTACATTAAATTATCTTAATAAACTGAATACTATGCTGTCTTTAGTTACAAAGTTAAAAAAAAGGTAGGCAGGCAGAGTCACACTATCCTATAACTAACAGGGCAGGGAGATCTGTGACAGGAGATGGACAGTTTCACAACAACTAAAACTTCAGAGGCTTTCTGCAAAACTACAGGTGAAAGCAATGACATGTTTCATTTAGAGGCTTCCTAATACTGTTTGTCTGGGAAAAAAAAAAACACAAACAAACCAAAAACCAGAAGAGAAAGAAGGTAGCAATTACTATTGGGGAAAATATAAAAGATGACTGCTGTGTGTGTGTCAGGCATTGGGGAAAATTACTACTTTGTCTTTAGCAGAGAGATGACATTATCCCTGCAGCCAAACAGAAGCTACACTGTAAATGCAAAGTTCAGATATATTCAACAAGAAGAGGTGAGAAATCCAGCTGGATTAGAAACAGAGCCATTCCCAAGCTAATTTGGATAAAGAAGTTTTGCTAACAGTCTAGGCTGCATACAGCAGTTTACTAGTCACTTAGAAGAGGTGGTGGTACCATCCCCATTTTGGAAGCTCTAGCAGGTTGGTGATGGGAACCACCCAGGATGACGATGGGAAGCTGAGTGGTCACAAGCACAAGAGAGATAGTTGGCACTGGGCTTTTTGCATGTATTTAAATGAATGATAGCCCTGTGCTGCCAAATGGAGAGACTGTACTTTCCTGTTTGGGAATAGATTCCAGGATTGGAATGGTCTACAATGACCCAGTAGGCATATCCCAAATAAAATGATGGCTTATTGGGTATGTGAGCTTTTCACATTTATGCCTGGATTTCTCTATATGACTGCTGGCTTGGAGGGAAAGACCCGAAGAGTCAAAAAAAAAAAAAAAAAGGCAGCACAAAAGCCCAAGGGAAATGGGGCAAAACTGTAATGAGAAAAAGGAATAAATAAATGGGAAGTGGTATGTAAGCAGCACTTAAGTCTGTGTGAGGTTAATACCAACCATTTACTCCAAGCTAAATAAATGCTGCCTGGGGACTGAGATTAGAGCAGGCAGCTCAGGGGAGGCAGCAGCTTCTCAAAGCTGGAGCCAGGAGGAAGCTCTGGGAGCTCAGCAGTCTGGTGCACATTTTTGAGCATTAGCCCCATCTGACCAAAGGGAATATGATGTTCACAATAAGGGTGAAAACTCTCCATGCCCCTACTATGTCTATCTAATGCAGTGCCATCATGCTGCCAGCCTGTGCAGAGATGTAATGTCATTCTGTCATATTACCATCACAGAGTCTCAGAGCAACTGGAGATGTCATTAGCCCTGTCCAAACTCAACACCTTGTGTAGACAACAGTTTGAAATGCCTCTTTCCCACTTTACAGTCCCAGTTCAGAGACAAATAAGCAGACAGTCAAATGCAGATCAAAATCCTCTTTTGAATACTCTGCCTCTTGTAATACTTCTGCTTTTTCAGAAGCAGGTATTGGATAAAACTGCTCAGGCACAGCCTTCAGTCAGAAGTAGGAGCCAAATTATTAATTTACTTCTTCTGATTCTAATTACATTCTACCTCCAGACATGTAGTCAGGCTTTTATTCACCTAACTGCTTTATTCTCTAACTAGCAATTCATCTGAAGAGGTTTTCCTGCAGGATTTTCACTGTAAGGATCTTTTTTTTTGTGTTAGAGAAGGAATTCACTGCTTCAGTGCAACACTTTTGCTCATTAAAAATAATTTCTCAGCAAGTTTAGTTGCAGTAGCTTTTCAGTCATATTAGAGACCCTGTTGCAGCATTACTTCCAGAGAACATGCTAAAGATCAGCAGGGAAAATGAAAGGGAAAGAAGAAAACAAGAGGCTGGAAGGACAAGAGAGATTGCTGCAAATTATAAGCAAGCCCAGACATGCTGGTGCTCACTGGGGTACTGATTCAACCAGCCCTTTGAAATGTGTTTGACCATAAAGTCAGTTTGTACCCTCAAAGGAATTTCTCACCTACTCACAAATACAGTTCTCTGTGTATTTTCTCTCTTGCCTCATTCTCTTCCTGGCTCCCTTCCCCCTTACATCATCCCTGGCTTTTTACCTTTACTACCACGTCTTCTGTGCTCACTGGAGATGCTTTGAAGCTTGCTTTCACAACATAGACTCATTCCAATCTTTAGGGAAATGTGCTACAGAGAGAGCAGGGAAATGTGCTACAGAAAGAGCCTGTAGTTTATATCAGCAAATTTGCTAACACAAGCACATCACCCCAGAGAGATGGCATGTTCAGCTGCCAGTGAGTTTACTGCAGCTCCTTTGCTTTTGGAGCAGACAACTCCCTCCTCAGGAAGTTTTGTGTGTGTATGTGTTTTGTGGGGCAGCCCTGCAGTAGCCTGTTTGTTACAGTATGTAATATTAATTGACAACTTTCAGTGTAGCTCCTGGTTTTCAACTAAGTAAGACAACTGGCACAGTCTGGAGATGAAGAAAGATTATTTCAAGACACAAAGCATGTTAATCTCCCTTCTGACTTAAGCACAAGCACCAGTCAATGATTATTTCTAATATACCACATAAATAATGACTCACATTATTCAGTGAAGCATCAGCTTAGACAAATACAGAAAGTAGCAGTGTACTACTTTTCATTCAGTGGGCCAATTTCACCTCCAAGGTAAGTCAAAAGCCTTCCTGAAGCTCTTAATCAGTTGAATACAGCTTTGTTTTAATAAAATCAACATAGAGTTCCCTTAGTGTAAAAGTGCTAATCACTGCAGGCAATTCATGATTGTACAATGACATCTACTTTTCTTTAAGCAGCAGAACAAGGAGGAGTGTGGTAGCCTCCTGGACACAGGAAAAATAATGTGAATCTTCAGCCTAAGGGAACATACTAAAAGATCAAACAAGAAACTGCTGTATTTGTTTAGAGAGGGAATATTGCTCTAACCTAAAGAGTCAATATGCCAGAAACCACCCTGCCTGAGGTGAAATGAGACATAAAGCTACCAGGAGTGTTCTGCAGGGGAACAACCAGTGCTGCAGAAGGAATTAACTAGTTGTGATTTTCTAGACCTTTTCCATCTTTAGTCTTATCGAAAAGAGCTGTCATGGTCATTGTGGCCATGTAATCTCCTAGGAAGACAAGGGAATATAAATTTGGGCCTCCAGGCTTCAGAGGGTCATGTCAGTGTTAACTACTGACTTCTTTGTACCTCTGCTGCATCTCAGGAGTTCTTTGATTCACTTCTAGCTTCCTGCTTCTGGCACTGGTAGGTGAGAAATGGCCCTTCTACCTGCTTTTAAGCCCTGGGAAAATTCTGCAGTCTGTTTTATCTCTATTATCTGTTCAGCTGGTGTAATTGGGTTGTTTCAGGATGGATGAAGCCAGAACTGAGAAATAGGTTTCCATGAGTTACTGAAAGGAGAAAATGTAAACAAAATCTAAGACTTGAAGTTAAAATCTTAGACACTTCCCTCTCTTCCAAAATCTCATCTGTAACACGTCAGGAAAACAGATGGTGTAGAGTACAAAAACATATTGAGAGACTGTCTGTCCTCCTCAGAGTGGTCCAAAGGTGATGATGATAATGCCTAGAGAGCATCTTTCACCAAGAAGGGGAAGAAGTAGTTTTTTCATTCAACAAAAGATGGAATTTAAGCAAAGAGAATGTGAAATGAGAAGGCCAGCATCAAATAGCAGAGGCTGAACTGAACTTATAAACAGATTTTCTAGATGTCAGGCTAGTACCCTCTCCCAGAAGGTGTGCTTAATAAAGCACTTAAAAGAAAAATCAAGAAACTGCTACACAGAAAAAACAACCCCACAGAACTGTGGAAAAAAGCTAGAAAGGATGCACTGGAACTTCCTTTTTCTAAACAATTAATGGGATTACTGCTGGCCCTTGCATATGCAAGAATATATGAATACCTGAAGAGAAACAAGCACAAACTGGCAGCACTGGTATAAGAAAAAGCCTCAAAAGCATCTGTCACTCTTACCTGTCCTTTATTGAGTGCAATATATGGCTTCAAGCAAGACTTGCCAAAACCAAATAAATCACCAGCCCATGGGGTAACCATTGTACACTAGCCCAAATTCAAACTGTCTGACTTTTTTTACCTGAGGCAGCATAGTTAGCATCACAATCATGCTGGCCAGGACTCATCCATCATCACTTAGGCCTTACATCTGAGAGAGTTAATTAGATTTCCTTCAGAGTCAATGAGGGCATTTCCAAGGCTGAATTCACCTGGTGTCTTTTAGATGTCCATTTTAGAAAAAAGGGAGAGAAATACCAAGTTCACATCCTCCCATGCTTAACCTCCAAATTTGAAATGCGTATCAGCGCATAAATACACATCCTTTACTGAACTGATTCTTAGTCAAATAGATAAGAACAGAGGATTGAGACAGATTCACATAAAATTCAAGTAGTAAGAGCTAAAATGAAAGGTTGCAGGAAGTCCTCTGTAGGACTTCGCCTTCAAAGGGAAAGCTGGTGTGCCACAAAGACCAGCAATGGTAATATACTCCACTAGATACATTCCCCTGTTTTGATGCATACTGCCAGGAGGAAAATGGTAAGACTCCATACTGTGCTCCACCAGGATGTTTGCCACATAATTTAGCGTATACACAAGGTAGGTAATGCAATAGGTCAACATAGAGACTGGTTATTAAGTTCAATTCTGCAAATGACTACAAATCAAGACTAATTAACTAAAAGTTAAATGACTGCAAATCAAGACTAATTCCAACAAGAGATCATCAGAACTCCAGCACTCAGACTTCAGCCAGTATAAGTTTTAAGCCAGTATTTACTCTGAGGGCAGGGGCTTAGTTTGGTAAAACGAGCTCTTTCTCATGAATTCAATGAAGACAAGGCTGTTAGCAGTGACTAATCAGAACAGTCTCTTAGGAAAAAGGAGAGCTTAATTACCTTAGTGCTCTACTCCGTGACTTTCCTAGACAAACCACACACTGAAAGATACGTGACAATGTGGGTGCCAGAGTTTATATCATCATAAGTTTGGGACATCCATACTAGTCATGAGTTTGATTCCTGTCTCCCTCTTTTCTGAAGTGCATTAGCTACTATGGAAACAGTATCATTAGAATGGGCAGGGATTTCTGACACCAAGATGAACCCTGTGCTTATGCTAAACGATATACCTTCTACGCAGAGCTCTAGCTAAATCTAACCTTGGCACATTAACTAACCCAGGTCCCTCATACACAATCTGAAGTACATTTCTATACAAAGGAGGTAATTCACTAAAGCTTTATAGTTTTTTCCTACTCCTTCCCACTCTTGTCTGGTGGTGGACTTCTTGTACCCTATAATGTTATGAAAGCAGCAAACTGCACAACATATAGCTGCAATGATTTGCAATGTATATTTAGTTAAGGCTGAGGAATACTTCCATGCTCCAGAAAGACTAGAATCCCTCTGCTGAATTACAACTACAATGTAATTAATTTAATTTTTTATGCTTCCTGAAATTCTCCTTTTGAAGATGCTGCAAGAGATGCTACCTCAGTTGTATCAAGAGACATACAGAGAAGCCAGAATTTTACATCCTCATGTTTAACGCTACTTACTAAAAGACTAAGACACAAACACGATGAAAACCTGTCTTTAAAAAAAAAAATAAGGGGAAAAAAAAAGGCAGTTCTCTTTAATTAAGAATCCTATCAAATCCCATAAGCTGACTGAAAATTTTTATAGGGGAACAATGAAACAAGAAATTCTCGGCTCAATCAAATCAACGGCTCATCTGTTTCTGTATCTAAACGTGACAACTGCCAAATGTTTCGAACTATTCCCTTTCTGCTACTGCCATTCATTTCACTGCTATTGCACTATAACCTGCACTGTTATA